TCGTTTTTCCACACAAATATTCTAATTTAACTAATTTAAAAGACTGTTTTAATTTCAATTATGACAGATAACAACTTTGAAGTTATTTTTGAACTTTTTGCAATTTTTACAAATTGGAAAACGCTCTACCGATAAATGTTTCGAGATATTCATCAGTAATCGCACGACAAGAAATAATTTATTCAACTTATGATATGTCTTAAAAATTATATAAAATAATTGTCTTTAAATGATCACGGAGTAAATCATCCTTGTATTCATGAAAATTTCTAGAAATTGCTTTGAACCTATAATTATTCACAGTTCTGTATTTCATTCGTAATACTTATTTTTTCCAGGTATCCCTGTTGGAAAAAATGGAAAATACAGCATTAATAGCTGAAAAAATTTTATAATGCATATTGCATCACTCACACTATTAACCTTCGTGTTTGCAACACTTCCGTGTGTTTTATATTACTAACAATGAATTTGAGAATGCAAAATGATTTCCATTCAGTAATTGATTTCCTACTGATTGGAGAAAATCAGAGATCAAAGTAGACGGATAGATAGAACAAATATTTTTTTTTTAAGATTCTATTTCAACATATATATTTGATAAAATATCTATTCGCCATAACATAAATAAAAATGACAAATTACTACGGAGTTTAATATATATAATATCATATTATTAAAAATTCAATCTACTGTAATCTAATATACTGTAATGCAATTATCAGAGCCACAGTTGCATTGTTGTAGTGTTCAATAATGAACTGTTTTGATTTTGTCGAATAAATTACCTGTTTCTATCATAGAAAAATTTTTGTTTTTATATTGCGTAGATCAATGATGTACAACTGTGTAAATCAGTAGCCAAATGCAACATCATATATCAAACACGAGTAATAAAAATTCTTCTCTTTCTTAATAGTTATCTTCATCGTATAAATAATTGACAAAGCAAAAAGAAGGGACAAAAAGAAAAATATTGATGGATACTTGTCTTCTGTGTTATTTTCACATATTTTAATTGAGTTAATTTTATTATTATTTAACTATTAAATTTATTTTTGAAACATTGTTTTATAATTGTAACATAATTGTAAAAAATTTTATAAATAGCAAAAATTTGATTTTAAGTGATTGGTTTTATTAGAATCTATTAAAACTACATTTAACAAGCAAGAATCCTTAAAATATAATTTCTATGTCTCAAGATGATGTTTTTCTTCTGAAATAAACAATAATCAATTAAAAGTTAATTAACTTTTAAATTGATGATAACTGACATCTTCGACACGTCTTTTGTTTCTCTCCTAAATGTGTACCCATTTTTATGCATTTATAGAAAAATGAAAGATGCAAAATTGCACAGAATACACAATATGATGAAAATATATAAAATACTCAATGCTCTTATTTCTAAAATTTTTTAAATTCAATTCACAGAAATATGAATTTTCGAGAAAATTTACACTCCAGTTGGAATACTTCAATAACCAGAAGTCTTTGTAAATATCATGCAAACGATCGAGCAGTTTGTGAATTATCTCTTTCAAACCTAATGTTACATCAATTATAAATGATAAATGAATGAAAATCAAATGTAAATGTAAATAATACTAGAATTAAATAGTTCGCATCAAACAAATAATTTTACGTTAATAATTTTCTTGATAATTATGAAAAAAGTGAGGCATACATGTGAAGCGAGATAATTTTCGTTTTTTATTTATTTCGCTGAAGGAAAGTCTGGTCTCAATTTCAATATTTTTGAAAAGAAAATCATGAATAATTTTTTATATCAGAAGATAAGGTGCCTGAATGTTTCTACTTACACTTTAACACGTTCCCATACCAATCTATTCAACAGATTCCCTCGAGATACCAATCCACTTTGATTTTGAGTTTCACTCTTCTTGTTCGTAACTCAGCCAGTAATAAGAAGAAAATGAGAATATAAGCATGTACGTATACTTTGGAATAGTGGGGAATAGAATTGTATCCCACTCCAGACACTATTTTAATCACTAAATGCTAATATGAATAAATACATACAAAATTACTAATAATTCGCTCATTTAAAGTAAGTTTGTCCTACCCCCCCCCCCCTCCCCCTCCTCTCCCTATCCGATCATGCAAATAACAGATTCCCCTCTTCTTTATTTTTCAGGCGCTATAAAAGCCCCACTGTTATAACCAATCACTAAACTAAATGGTAAAATCAACATATATGAAATGCGATTGTAAGAGTTGCATACATAATCAAATTGAAGTATAAGGATGAAACTCGTATGATATGATAGAGCTCGCGCTTCGTCCAGAAGGTAATGAAACGACGAAGTATCGAGAGAGCACTTCTCTTGTAGCTTTCGAAAAGTGTCACGAACCAAGTTTCAAAGGGCACAAACAGGCCTGATTTAAAGAAAAGAGATATATGTATGTACATCATTTTTTAAAGTGAACAGTATTTTATTAGGTATACATGTATGCACTTCATCTTTAGAGCGAGTAATATTTAAAATCTTAATTTGAATATGAGCCAAACAATAAGAATTACTTTCCCACTAATTATGCCACTAGTTACTTATTCATTTAATTGCTAATAGAAGGACTGTTGCTAAGAAAAGGAAAAGAATGTTTCGAGAGAATATAAAACCAATTGAATTCCATTCACTGTTGGAAAAGTACATACAGTACCTATTATTTGATTGCGGACGTTTATGCATTTTATAGTTTTATGAACATAATTAGAAAATTGGAATTCATGTAGAA